GTTAATACGTTTTAAACATGGCTTCCACTCTAAATGGAACTTTCTTAAAAAAATATAATCATCCAATAAAAATGTTACGGAGTAGGTGTATTATGATTACTAATATATCTTTGTAAACCTAACGTATATTTTTATATTTACTCAATGGTTATACATAATATAATATATTTGATTAATATGAATTATTTTTTTAGAGACCCAGCATTATGTTCACAAATTGTACACAATATAATATTTTTTGTCAGAGTATTAATTTAGAATTTATTTTCATTTAATTAATTATAGTTTTGTACAAGACGGCCAAACCCGTAAAGTATTTTACATTTTAATATAATAATTAATATTTATTCATGTATTCATAGCAACGAGAATTACTTGGTCCCCCTATATACTTTGACAAGGACCATTCACATTCAGAATTCCCTAAAGAGTAAAGACCCCTCAAAATGTGAACTAAAGGACTACGGGACTATGAGTACTATGACACTACGAAAGATCGCCAAAACAAATTCACACAGCATTAATTTAGTATTTAATATTCATGGTCAAAATACATATCAATGGATAACTACAGCCTGAGATAAAAATTATATTTGTGCATTTATAACAAATATATTACATAAAATTGACAAATAATGGAATAATTATATTACATCTAATCATAAAAGTAGTTATTATTTTTAATATTTACAACTTCGTATAGACACGCATATATCTTCAGATAGAAAAATTATCATCACAYGAATGTTGCCAGGACGCAGAGGTAGCTTTGATGTATAGCACTATATCTATAGGATGTTCCAAGTGWCATTCAGTAAAGGTCACTTTTATAATGTACACTCGAATGTACACATTTATATAGTTTTATTGTTAATTTATTTTGTATTAGCCGCTATTGGATCTCACTATCTCAGTGTAAGTGAAAAGTGAACCTCGATTCGTCGGAAATACCAACCCTTGGTCTGGAATATAGGTAGTAATATAGGTACCCGTACTTAGTTGAGAACATTTAATCGAAAGTCCACAAACTTCAAWGAATTATCAAAATTGAAAATTCCATTATCTAGGTATAGAAAAAGGTAATTTAATTAATAGCGGTATACTCGTATGCTTGAATTCTATGATTAATATTTTTTTGAATAAATTACAACAAAATAATAAAAAAAGAGTTTGAGATGAATTTGGAGTTATTTTACTTGTGAGAGTCCACCTAATTACATTGTGATAATTAGAACTTCAAGTGCTCATTAAAATATATGTGGCTTTAAGTTAAACTTTTTGTTGATTTCAAGTAAAAAAAGCTAACTAGGAATATTATGAATTTATGATACATTTTTAAGGTTTTTAAGTGTTTAATCATTAACATTTTATAAATTTTCAATTACAAAATTTCSCAAAAATGTTAAAATTAAAACCTTATAAAAAAATTTGTTTATGTTTTTTTGGATATACTCGTATTAAAATTTTGACGAGAATAATTTATGAGTTTGGTGGTYATGAGGAATCTTGCAACAYAAACTTTTTACTTTCAAACAAAATATTGAAWAAAAATTAACTGCAATAGTCAACAATCAAATACGTTTATAAACATAAAATCTAGCCAAAATATTTATTATACAATAATAATATGATGTTTACCAAAATATTCTAATATGAATATTTGGTGAAAAACTAAAGTCGTATTTATTATATCATCATAACAAAATAACAATGTCGGTTTGGTCGTAAACGGAATTTGCTTAAAAATGTGTTGCTGATAGGTTTTTACTAATTATTTTTAAATCTCTTTAAAATTCACACTTTTGTGTACTCWYTACTCAAAGTACCAACCAGATACAATTGTCTATCAGAGATCATAGTCAAAATTAAAGATTGTATAACTTTTAGTTTTTAATACTCGAAAAACTGATAATTGAAACACAGAAAAAGAAATCTTAGTGACGCATCATAAATTAAAACCTATTCATTGATCATTAAAATCAGAATCTAAAGCGACAATAAATWAATTAATTCTACAAAACGTCATTTTTTCAATTATTGCACGATTAAATTAATTTTAGTTATTATTTGAAACGTTTAATAATATACCAATAATATAATCATGTTCAGTTATCTCGCCCGTACGCTAGTGCAGTAGTGCGCAATAGTGTTTTTGACGCTATGAGGTAAATAAATTAGTTGTCCACAAAAGCGTACAATCTGCGATAGCTGTGTGTACAATTATTAAAATATCTCCTTAGAAACACAATATTGCGTCAATATGGCTTTTAAAACCCTTTAAAATTAATATTCGCGTACAGTAAATTTAAAATATCATTACAGTTCAGTTTTGTCTTCAATAACTAAACGCATTTTGAACAAAACWAACTTATAAATCATATTAAGGATTATGTACATTCGTTGTTTTCTCGTAATATTATTCCACTCGCGAAGGACTACCAAGTTGTAATATTATACTCCACGAGTCCAGACGGTCGATTAATGTAAAAACGGAACAAATTTACGAAGTTTCGTTTCAAATCATTAAAATAAAATGCACTTATTTTTTATTTTGTATTAAACGCTAGAGCTGTACTCTTGTAAACATATAATATAAACCTCTAAGACGGTGATAATGTGATATGCATACATAATATGCAATATTTTGTTTTTAACTGACTTGGTACAAGTTGAAAAACTATGTGTAAACTGAGTGTATTGATATAATGTATACCTCAGTCATCTCAGCGATTCATTATACACAAATAAGATTTACAATAATTATTAATTGATTTAATTAAATCGTATGTGTACGTGTTATACGTTTCTGATAAGTGCAATAAAAAAGACTTTATAAAATACTATAAATCTTATATTTTAAGAATTAAAGTACGAACATTTTTAATTATCTTTCGTATTGATTCTTGAACTAACAACTAAGTATGCAAATGCTATTTTAATAATCACGGTGGATACAGTCTAATTGAAATGAAGGGATTTACGTTCAGTTTTATTATAAATTTGTTTTAATTAAAAAAAATCTTATTAATGGACATTAATATACTTAAATGGGCCTAACTATTAAAAACTTGAACAAATGGCTTAAATAATAATCTACTGAGTCTTATGAATTTTTATTTYAATAAATTATATTATTTATGTCGTATAATATTCCCTTTAATATTCAGTCCCATAGTTTTACTATATGTATAGTTTTTACATAAATTAATTATAAATATTTTTCAAATAACCTTTTGAATAGAAAATGAGGATTTCATAATTTTTGGACACCTGAACAATTAAATAAAAACGAATAACATAGTGGCAAATAATATTTTACACATATAAAATTAATATGGAATGATGTTATCGATATTATAATTAAATAAATAACATCAGGTTTTTCACGTGAAATCAATTGTTAAACATAATAATATTTTATTTTTACAGTTTACTATTTAGTTTTAAAATGTCACGTACATTGTTAATAATATTATTATTTACAATTTGAAGTTGTTTTTACATATATTGTGTGTCGTACGACGTACGAAGCTAAAAACAACAAAAATTATCAGTTCCCGATTACTGGAGTAGTTGTATCAATGGTAGGTATGGATTATAATTATATTCTTTTATAATTATTAATTTATTTTCATTGGAAATAGGCTTCTTTAAACTGCATTATAATAATATAATGGATGATTTAATATAGGCATAATATTATTTATTTTAATATTCACACACAAAAGGATACCTCGTAGAAACTGGAAACTACGTATTACGTATTAAATGGTACACGGAATTTGGGTAATTGTCACATTTTTATAACTTTTATCATTGGAATTTATTCCACAATAATATTATAAACTAATAATACATTTTTAATCAATGATGATATAAATTAATAGCGAGCGTTTTCTCACGCTAACTCATGGCGTATGATTTTTTTACTGGAAATGGATTATTTTATTATTTAACAATGGGTGTTATCTGAGTAACTAACTGAACTAAACCTATACCACCGATTGCGATAAAAAAAAAAAAAAACGGTTATTGAATGCAATAAAAACAATTTATAATTTATGATAAAATAGTACAGGTATAATTTATAATCTTTTTTTTTTAATGAAAAATGTTAAGAATATTTTCTTGGTTATTATAGACTCCGGAAACACAATTTTGGTATCATTTGAAGTACTTACCAATTGCCAATTGGTACTTTGAATTATAACTCAAGTGGAGCGGTGTGGCAGTGGATAATCCACGAAGTTTTGTTGCATTGTATTCTGCACTTTCAATAGTTTTTAATAATGTACATTCTATTCTATTCTACTATGTTGTTTAATATTATTATGTCGTAGCGTATAAAATCCTTCTAAATAATGTTATCAGCTACGGGTTACCATAAACAAATAAMAAAAACCTGAAAAATCACCCTAATAGAAAAAGTCATCATAAATTAAATGAYGTAAAAGTACTAGGTATATATTGTATTATGGTAATAATATTATTATACAAGTTTCAAAATCATTAAACCTAATCGACTGAGAGAATACAAGCCACAAGCGTCTCGCGGTAACGAAAATAATAAAAATAATAATATTATCACATTGTCCCATAAGTAAATATAATATGTGTGATACTGTGATGTGTAGAGTTTATTTACTTATCTGAATTCTGGTGAATGCTTTTCGACGTAGTATTTTTAATACCGTCAAGCGCACGCGAATATCACTTATCAAAAACTATGTGTAGAAATGTGTGTGTAATATTATTCACAATTATTGCACAATTCCCATTTCCTAATGATTGATGACATTTTGATGTGATAAACGATAAATGAAAAATACAACAGAGATTTGGCGGTTTGAAGGAGACTAGACGACAATATCGTATTTTCCTAGTGCCGACGTTTGCCGTCAGGTGTCGCTACTTGTCCGTCGTAATCGTGATCCGCACCACGAGGGGGTTGGACGGGACCGGCGGCGGCGGCGGCGGTTAGAAGAGTGCGAGGCCGGCATTCGGCAATGCGGAGTCAGTGTTGGTCCGCCGCTGCTTTCGGTCGTTCACGTCGTATTGTTTCTTTTGCCGCCACCGCCGCCGCCGCTCGGAAAGTACGTGCGTTTTTCCGCGAAATTTTCGCGTGTGAAACCGTCGTCGGTTTTGGTGTTGAGSTTGCGAGTGTGATCTCTGTCCGCACGATTAGGTATGAGTTAAATGATTACATTTTGATCGTCGGTAAACAGAGGAAAATAAATCGATTTTTATCAGTTAAATAAAAACCGACTGGGTCGTCGTGTGTGTTAGTGAAGAGTTTCTCTAAATGTGATACTGAACGGAGAAGTCGTTACTACTAACCTATCCGGAACGGCTACGCCAATCATGACGTCTCGGTGCCGACTGCAAGTGTTGTGGACACTCTACCTGATCGTCTATAACGGTTAGTAAATGTCGTGTTCTTTCGTTTAATCGCATTATTATTTACCGTACCTCTTAAAAACTCTTGACTGGCTCCGACTGACGGATCGGCTGGATTTTGTTCTTTAAGAGTGTACCGTTAGGTAATTAAAAAAGTTCACCAAAACGCTGTCGTGTACGTAGGTAGTTGAGGGGGGAGCGTTAAGCACTTTAAAATTAGTTGTTTTACCTAGTATATTAAATTTATAAAAAAAAATCCAAATAGATAATTTTGTACTAAATAATAATATAGATACTCGTTTATTCTGTATTATAGTTTGTTTATTCTGTTCCTTCCTACACATTAATAGGGCCATACTTTATGTAGTTTCGAAATCTGTAACGTTTTAAGTTTTTACTTACGAGTTATATTATGTTTTGCGCTGTTTCGTGTAGTCGATTTTCTATCGCCAGCGTTTGAATCCTTTAACAATAAGGTTGAATGTGTCAATGTGAAACATTTTAATTTTCCACAATATKCGTCACTGGAATTTGAGTCCGTCATTTGTCCTTAGGTGACAAAATGACAATTACAGAATGACATATTATACTTACATAATTTACACTCGTTAAGGAAACTACGTTTATACCATTGTGATTTGTAAAGTAGATTTGATTATCTTCTGATTGACACACCAATAATTTATTGTAAAATTATAATGTTATGTAATTAGAGATGCTTGTTAGATTTTTCAAGTTTGGTAACTATGATTTTTTTGATTTTTCAGTTAACTAGATATGAGTATGTAAATATTTATATTTATAGATGTTCCTAATTAAGTTCCGTTAGTAAGACTGAGACCATCCATACGGGTATACGACGTATTTTTGACACTTTGTAGAATATAGATAGTAATCTAACATTTTGGTATTAYTACTAATAAATTATTTGTAGTTGCTAGTTTAGGTAGATTATTTTACCTACCTATTTTATCATAATATTTTGTCAATTTTAATTACTTATGATAACATAGTGGGAAAACAATAAATTATTTATACCCTTAGTGTAATTACCTAGAATTCTGAAAAATAATWATTATTCTCAACAATATTTATAAAATTTCTAGTTATTATGTGGCAAATTATACAGTTATACTACCTTTGTTATTAGTTGTACCTTGCATATTACATTATACATATTGTTATTGTACCATTAGGTATGTTATCATTTTCTCGAGATATATTGATTTGTTATTTATAATGTGTATTATCTATAATTATTATTTATACCTTCCAACATTTATTTATTTCACGTGCATTATAATCCGTTATACCGTAATAGACATTGTTATATATCTACGAAATTATTTGTTTAGTGTATTTCAATGTGAATTTTAATGTACAAATTAACAATTTATWGTGAGATAATCAACACAAAATAAAATATTATTTTAGCCATACCTACTTATCTAAATTTTAAATGTCGCTAAATTCTAAAGACTTTAACTTTTAAGTTAGGTTATGAAAGCAGAAATTATTATTTGCAGGTTTTGTTAGGTACCTCATCTGAAATTCAAAATTTGTATTATGCTTAAATGAATTCATAAAATTATTAAGAATAATTTACAACTACTATTGTGTTATAAAATATTTGTAAAATATATTGCACTTTTTGAATTATATTAAATTAAACATTTTCGAAATCAAAAAACTTTTAGATTCAAGTTTTGTATTCAATATCAATCTTATCAGTTATAAGATATCTATTATTATATTTATATTTATTTTATACCTAAAGCATGTAATAATTATATGTACCTTGGTCTACACAGGGGTGGGGTGGTGATATTGACTTGTAATTTTTGAAATTTTGATAGAAGTATTAATACCGGGACTTATACTGAAGTACATATAAATTTAAAAAAAATAGTAGAGTCTCAAAATGTGGTGAGTTTATGCCTATAGAAATATATTACTACCTATTACATTTTTCCTTTTTTTTGCTTTACTTTCTTTTTTCTTTTGCTGTTAATTCATAGGTACCTAAGTACCTAATATTTTATTTGGTAAGTAGATAAGGTACCTATAAATCATAAATACTAATTTGTTCAAACTCATATAACATTTTTTTGAATTAGGTACCTACCTAATTTTTAATTTTTAATTTTTTGAATAATACAGTCATTCAGTATAAATATAGGTATATTAAATATAATTAGACTATTATTAATAAATATTCTCAATACTACCCGAGATATTACCTTAGGTAATTTACATACCTATGTGATTGAATCCGAGTAAAAATGAGTGAAATAGGTAGTTTGTAAAATTATTTTAATTTCACTAATCTATGGAATAATAGATAAAATCACTATTGGTCCGGCGGTGGGTGTGATATATTTTTAAAGGTTATAATATTTTTTGAATAATTTATTATTTATGTATTATTTTTATTTTATTCAGATGATAGCAATGTTTGTTAATAATACAAAATTCTTAATCTCAATCAGTATCTATGTATAATAATTAGTTTATAGTTTTCGATCTAATTATACGGTACATTTTTGTAAGGAGGTATTTACACCAAATACAGTATGGAACTATGCATGGAATATAAAACAAAAGCAAACTTCTTTGTAGTATAAGATTATTAAATTATTGTTTTCCAAATTCATTCTTGTTTTGACTGAAAATTTGATTTAGTATCATGTCTTGAGTATTTTGAGACCTGAGAATAATTTATTTAGTATGAATAGCTCTGGCCATTAAATAATTTCAGTAAACATATTAAATTTGACAAAAAATAGACAGGAATACAGGATAACGCAACCCATGTACGCCACTAAAATAATATAACAAACATAAACTCTTAGCACAACTATATTACCTATATAATACCTATAAATATAAAATGTATCTGTTTTTATAAATTATTAAAAAAACTGTATGATGATGATTAAGTAAACAAAAAACGTATGTTATATGTGTTGTCTTTCTCTCGATTAAATTATTAAGCACAAAATACCAAATATTATGTTTCCAACAATAAATTCAATTCAATACATTAATTTTGGACTTCCTTGTTCTTTGTTTTGAAACTAAACGTTATTGTCCATCCTTTAGATCTCACAATGACCGTCTCTGATGTCTAATGTCTACTGTATCAAAATCAAAATAACTTAATAACTTATGAATGACTAGGTAGTAAAAATTACGTGTATTAACTAGGTACCTACGGTTAATCAATTATGTACGAAAAACATATGTGATATAGATATAATACAAATTATACCATTGGTTATTGTATAATTTTTGATATTTTTAAATTATGGCTAATAATCTTCATGTCACGTTATTCTAGACAATTCTGTATATATTCTAAATATAAATTTTGAGTAAAAATAAATTGGTATGGTTATGCAGAGCCAGGTAGTCCAAGGTTTATAATATAATAACAACATATTGTATAGGAGGTGTGGCATTAAACTTTTATTGAACTCATCCATCATGAATACCTCAGGATTTATGACCTTTTATAGTTTTATGCTTATACGGTCGGAAAAGTTGCGAACAATCATTGGGATGATCATCTAGATATACTTTCATAACAATATGACACATCTTGTAGAAACTTTTATATACCTGGGTTATATACAATTCTATATRATTTAAAATGTCACTGTATAGTTTCATTTTTGAAATATAGAAAAATTAATTAATTTTAATAATTATCTATTTTTCATTTCTATTATTATATGTATAAATCATGGTTATATACTAGTAACCAGTAGGTATATTTATGCGATTTGCGATAAGCCTACCCTCCGGYGACTCAAACGTGGAGCTCCACAGATCCCCTTTCTCAACACCAATAATATAAAAATTATTTAAAAAATAACTGGAAAGTGGGTATCGATCTGCTACATTAGGTGGTGAGGTGGACCTCTAGGCTCCGTCTAGGGTAGGTTAGATTTGAATGCAATGATAGGCATCATTGTATACGAAAAACGATTCTGAACGGAGATGATTTGTCAGTCTAGGATATATTATATTTAAATATTGTCATATATTCTATTTTGAAACAAATATT